AAATAAAATGCACTAAAATGGCAAAATATTGAATAAACGTGTCTACAGCACTATTTTTAAAAGTTTATCGGCAAAATAAAGTTTATTTAGAGGTGACTTGCTCTTTTAGGAAACAAGCTGAAGCGGGCCACGCCCACCTCTCTCCGCTCAGGCTGCTATTAGCTGAGAAGCTCCGATGTCTGGGAGCGGCTGGTCCTCCAGCTGCACGTGAGAGGTGGTTCGAGCCTGTTTGTGATGTCACATACAGAGACATTTTGAAGCGGTTTGTTTTAGACCCATAATTCCTAGAACCGAACACTGACAGAAAACGGATGACGGATTTTTTTCCAACTTTGGAATCTTTATAGAGACAGTAGAGACCCACATGGCGGCACAAAATGATGCAAAAAGTGGCTTTTGCACAACAAAATCCTGTCTAGAAACGTGTTGATGGGACAAGAAGTGATTGAGAGAAGGAAAACAGATGGCGAGATTGAATTTTAGGGAAGGAGGAGTGTGAGGGGGATCTTTTTGTGTGTGTATGTCTGAACAGGAGCAGCTCACAGCGTGATTTTGGCCCGAGCTGTGGCCTCGTCTCGTCTAACCAGCGGGGTGCTTTCCTGAGCGGTCTGCCCAGGGGAGGGGCACCTGCAGCCGCCTCAAACGTTGGCCAAGGAGGCGAGCCCGGTGGGCGGCGGGGGAAGAGCTGGAATGGAAATCTGCTTGGTGGTTCCAGGAAACTGACATGTGCTGGAGTTATGAAATCCTCAGGTAGAACACAGCGACGTTGTCTAAAGAAAACATTTGTCCCCGTGTTCCCCGCGGCCTTGAGAGGAAGACGGTGCCTGTAGTCTCTGGATGAAATCAAGAGCTTCTGTTGCAGGGGAGAACAAACGTTATCGTTGGAGGACTTCAGCTGGGGCTGGCAACCAAAACCAACACCGAGTTTATAGATCCGCTCTCTGAGACAATATTTTCCATCCATTTGGTTGGGTTGACTAAACACTACGTATTTGAAGTTTATCAAACACTCAGTCATCCCTGCAAACCTGAGGAGGAACTTAATCATGTGATATATGAAGCTTTAGACCAGATCCGCCAATACCTGCCCACTCTGCCGACTCCAGCACCCTCTGTGGTTTAATATCCACGCTGCTCTCAGCTGTGATGTCTGGACCCGTTTCATCTTTACACAAGAGACACCCTCCATCTTGTGTCGTTTTGGCCTGACCCAGGGTCGCTAAAATCACCGAGTTTCACGTGAAAGCTAAAAGATTTAAAATGGGATTGGCTCCTCGCCTGCCAGAGATCTCGTTCAAATGGACGAATGTGTCGTTTGAGTGTCTCAGCTGTCTGTGAACGCTGCATGGATTTTGCATCAGCTCCACAACAGAGGTGCCCCCACTGTGCGTCTGCACACGACTGTGGGTAATAACTGCAGTGGGGAACGTTGTGTTCAGGCCTACCCAGGTAAATGGAAACACATGGTGGGCGAAAGACAGAAATGGTGCCATGACGGCGAGAAGAAGTACACCCCACCTCCCTGGAGAGGAGCATCAAGTCTCTTCAACCTGCTGACATGATTGGTGCAGCAAGAAAATAACAATACTAAAATCCTGCAGGGCCGGGTGGCTTCTCCTGCAGATTTCAATCAATGATTGCACACGGTGCAAAATGTCGTTCTACATGTTAGAATGAAATCATCTGAATTATCCAGTGTGTGTGAATGACTCTCTAGGGCAAGGGTGTCAAACTCAAACTCACACGGGGCCGAAATGAAACTCTGGGACGGAGTCGCGGGCCGAACTTAATGTTTTCTGAAAAAGTGACGGCAAATTTGCACATTTTCTTTATCAACATAAATGAAATTTTGAATCTTTAAATTTGGAAACAAACATATTTTTGCATCAACACTGAATGTGGAATGACCAAATTACACACGAGCAAGTCAGTTTTAAATAAAAGGCATCAGTGGTATTCATTACTTGTGGTATATTCAGCATTTTTAAAATCTATTCAGGATTTATGTTTTCTTGTTTATTCAATTTTCTTATTTTTATTCTCCTTTTTTTCTCCTGTAATACGTGTCATCGCTGCTGTGATGTCTAGCTTTCCCCACTGAGGAACAATAAAGGGATTTTCTATTCTATTCATCTATCTGCAGCCTTTCCACTTCCTGTTTACTGTAGGTTAAATCTTTTCTCACGGGCCAACAACAAAATAAAGATATAATTTTATCTTAAATGAAAATGCAACATCTCACCTGTTAACTTTCACGTTTTGGAGCAGAAAAAGAGCATCAAACCAACATATTTAAAGCTCAGTTTGCTCCACTGGTTTACTGTGATGCTCACCTGTTCCAGCCAGATACCTGCATCATGGGGTTGATCTGAGCTGAGGAGGAGACTCCTGTTGTTTTGTTCATCTTCATCATAATAACGACAACATTAGATGACAACAGGTGCTCACATAGGTTTGTGCTGATGAACATGTCTGAGCAGCTTGACCACGTTGTTGTGTGTCGGGGAGGAAAAATAACAACTACAGCAGCCACAGAGTCATGCTGACTTGAGCGTGTCGCTGCTCGCTGGAGTTATATCAGCTCTGTCTGGACGTTAGTTGGAAAACTTTCTCTTTCAGTCGTGAATGCATTACTGAGCGGTTAAAATCTCAGTTTCTGGGCTTCAACGTCGGCAAATAGCTGAGTAAACTCGGCGCTGAGTGAGAGGAGTGTTTAGTGGAGCTGCAAACACCGGCAGCAGACGCTGGAAAAAACACAAAGAAGGGGGCGCTTCGGCTCCGCGCTAACGCAGCAAAGCATCGTGGGAGTTGTAGTCTTTGCGGTAAAATCAACCAGCAGGCCAGTTTTAATATACTTTTGAAATTTATTTCTCGGGCCACATAAAAATGCTCCGCGGGCCTTGTGTCTGACACGTGCTCTGGAGGATATTTCCAGTTACAACCAGTTAGTGGATCTTAATGGTCCTTTTTTTAAGAATTCAAGAAGTAGAAGAAAAACACCTTTAGTACAGACGTAACGTGGGGTCCTACCACCCTGTGGTGATGTAAAAACATTTAAAGGTCCCTGCTGATGGAAGTTCAGATTTAGTGGCTCATCTCTACTATCTAAAACAGATAATACATGATCATGTTCTGATTCATGCCGCTGAATGTTTTTGCGACTCTGCTACACAAGAAAGAACCATTACCCAAACTACAGCAGTAAAAACTCAGGCATTTGTGTTTTACAGCGTCTTTGGGGCCGCGGTGTCATATCTTTGCTCCTTGCAGCAGCGGTTTGGAGCCGTGTTTTGTCGTAAAGTAGTTCCAAGTCTAAATCGACTCCTGTAAATCCATTTTGTTACTTGTTATTTTCATTTGAAGTCAGTAGGATTATTGAAGGTCACCAGTAAAAAACAGGATATACTTTTTCACACAAAATGCTAACTGTTTCCATTCACTTACATTGTTTATGCTAAGCTAAAGCTAACAGAATACTGCCAGATTATAAGAGAATGACTAAGCTGGTTTCAAAATGCTTTTTCCCAATTTTGCTTCTAATGATGTCGAAGAAGTCGGGATTCAAATATGGCGGCACACACTTCCCAAGTAGCCATTGTTTGTAGATTCCTCTTAATAACGTAGTTTTAGGCCGTACGTTCAACATGCAAACAAAACTTTTAGTATGTTCAACTTAGAGCTGCAAGCACATGTAACACTGATTTTAAATACACTCTTATAAGCGTGTTTTGCAAGAAAAACACACATTTCACCCTAAAGATACTGTTGTTGATACAGAAAGCTGCCGTTTTGCATGTCGAGGTTGGAGTTCTGAAATTTTCACGAGTTTCTGACTGGGAGGTTCGACTTTAAAGAGCAAGTCACCCTCAAATCAACTTTTTTTGTTGATAAACTATATAAATGAGTGTCTAATTGCTCTGTACACACGTTCAGTCAATAATTTGGTACTTCAGTGCATCTTAGTTAAAATTTAAATAATCTGCCTAAAACTGTCAGCGATGCACCGTCGTCAGGCAAAAACTCAGCACTGCATTTGAATTTAAATCTGCCATCGCTATTGGCTAAGAGGTACACTATGATGTTAGATGGTACGTTATGATGTCACAATGTTGTGAGTGTGTGTATTTGTTAGTGGCTCCGCTCTCTCGGTCTGCTAGGCAACAGCATTTGTTGCATTTTTCAAACAGGAAGTGGGAGTTGAGTAAGACTCTGGTAGGGGTTGACTTGCTCTTTAAGGGTGTTTCATTTGATTTTTTTTTTCTACTCGGAAGTCGGGATTTCTGAGTTCCGAGGACAAATCAAACGCACCTTAACTAGGGAACATGGCCACCGACTAAGTTTCCCTTAGCAGTGAAATATCCCTTTATTATGTTTATTAATAATTTAATCCTTATTATTCAGAATGCATTAAAATACATGGTGTGGAAGTTTAAGGGTTATTAAAGTAAAATATAATAATAACTGTATTTATATTGCATCACTTTGGGGCTGAGTTAGCATCCATTAGCACAGATGCTAAACTTTAAAAATTATTTGTGACAAACAGATGAAATGATGTAAGATTTTGCCTTTTGTGTTATTTTCTGAGCTCCTGTTTGACTAAAGTCAGTAATAAATGATGTTTTGCTGTTTTAATTATTGATTTATAGTTTATGTGACCTGCAAAGTTTCAATGATTGTGTATTAGAGGGCAGGGCAGCAGGCCCAGGGGATGAATTAACGCCAAAATTAAAAGTTTCATAGACAAAAATGTTACACCTGCAACAAAAAAAAAAAAAAAAAAAACCTGAGCATCCTCTTACTGGTTTATGTGGGGAAAAATCTTTTGAGCAGCAGGTCTGCAGGGTTTAAGTCAGACAAAAAAGCTCCAGAGTCAACTTCACCAAGTTATTTAACGTCTCAGTGTTTTTGCTCGAAACAAAGTCATGCACGTCTAAAAGTGTCCATTATTGTTTTATCAGAGCCAAAACAGAGTGCTGTGGAATTAAGACCAAATAAAACAAAGAGTGAAATCATCTTTATTCTGACCTTTAACCTCGGCTACAGACAATCCCAGTTAAGGCCATGCAAAAAGCTGCATGATTCATAACAATAAGAACATGTATTAAACCCCAAACATGCAGGTCAAAGTCAACAAACTTTTTTTTTTCTTTCCCAGAAACTCGTGGACACATCTGGACATATTTCATTCATGTCAACAAACAATGTCTCAAAAATGTCCCTGGTCAGACCGAAGCAGTCTCTAAAAAAATGAGCGTTTTCTTTCAGAAATATCAGAAAATACACAGAAGTTTTTAGCTGGAAATGCCTCTGAATCTTAAAATGATCCATTTTCTTTGGTCAGATAACTTCACAAATGGAGCTTGAATGATAAATCTGCATTTTGATGCTTTTAAATTTGCATTAAGTGATTGACTGAGAGCCTTTATTCAGAAACACGTCCTTCAAAGATCATTTTCAGGTATTTAAATTTGTTTAAATCTCTATTTCTTAACAAGAAATGTTGTCCTTTCACAAAGTGCTATTAATTTTTAAATATTCTGGTGCACATTTATATTGTCTCTACTGTAGAGGTGCAGGAACTACTGCAGCGGACTGCTCTTGCGGCACAGCTGAGTTGCTGGTGTGAGCGCCTGCCGGTTGCGTTTTCGCTTTCCTGTCAGTAGCGTGTAAAAGAACGGATTGACGCAGGAGTTCCCGTAGGTGAGTCCAGTGAGAATCCGGTTCACTGTCACCTGTGTCCCCACCGGTACTGTTCGGAGCATGTCGGGTTGGTATAAAGGGAGCAGCTGCCAGATCCAGAAAGGGAGAAAGCAGGCCCAAAAGGCCAGGACGATTCCCAGGATGAGGAGCAGGACTTTGGGTTTCGGTGCTCGAGGAGGACATGCAGTGTTGTTCCCAGTGGCCCAGGCTGGTCGGGTCTGTGACACCCAGTAGAGCCGCCCCAAAGTGGCATAAAGTGCACCGATGGCCAGCCCGGGTCCAAGAATGCTGGTGCAGAAGAGCACGCTCAGATAGGCCTTGGAGCTCTGCTCATCCCACGCTGGGACACACAGCTGTCCCTCGTTGTTGTCCCCGTCCTCCAGGTGCAGGGTGATCATCATGGGCAGGCTGAGAGCCACTGCCAGCCCCCACGCCAGGCCCACTCGCAGCAAGTTAGAGGAATTGGAAGAGGAGGTCTGCAGGGGATGTGCGACGGCCCGGTAACGGTCCAGGCTCATGGCGGTCAGGGTGAAGATGGAGGCGTGCATTGTGAGGAGGTCCAGGCTCAGAAGGAGGCGGCATCCCAGCTCCCCAAAGGCCCATCCGGACGCGAGGCTGTCATACACGATGAACGGGGTGGTGAACAGGTAGAGCAGGTCAGCAAGAGCAAGGCTCATCACCTGGAGGTGAAGAGAGGAGGAGGATGGAGAAGAGGTGGGGGAGGAGGAGGGGGAGGGGAAGCTGGCAAGGCAGGATGGTGTGGGTATCCTGGTTAGGAAGCAGGTCCCTCCACATCCTCTCCTCCTTCTGCTGCGCCTCAGGAGAAGGACCAGTGTGTAAAGGTTTCCTGTGATGCCCAGCAGGGAGAGGAGCGAGAGGAGGGAGCAGAAGAGAGCTGTCGAGGCGAAGCTGGGGGAAGGAGAGGTAGGGGGAGAGGAGGAAGGGATGGAGGCATTGAAAGGGAAGGAGTATGGAGAGGTCGGAGGCAAAGAACCAGAAAGGTTCATGATGTTAAAAAAAGACTCGATTAGAAGGGTCTCAGGCAGCGGATCATTAGAAATCTGTTAAATGTTAGAGTGGAGATGCAGAGAGGAGGAGAAAAGGAGTAAAACACAAACGGAACATGTGTTATTCCCTGCATTCATTCATCTGACAGGCGAGGAACAAAAGAGCGGCTAATCCTGGTTTCTGCTGGGATTCATGAGCAAATTAAACAAAGTCACATAAACACGTTCAAATGAAAATGTCAGCAAAACCAGGATGGTTTATGTTTCTGCAGAAACCTGCTCAGGTTGGCACCCGGTGGGGGGTGGGAGGAGCTGTAAATCTGGCCTGAAACCTCCCCACGAGGTCAACATTTGGGCAGCAATTAGTCTAAACAGACCCGAGCCATCTTATTAGCAGGCGGGTAATAAATTGCCAAGTTTGGTTGAGATTTGCTCGTGCGTGCCTTGTTTGTTTTTGCGCTCTGGCGGTTTGGATCCGGACCGGCGCTGCCTGTAAATTTGCAGAGTCATAACGCAGCGGGACGCGCGTCTGGCGCTGCGCTCTTGGATGAGAAAAAAAAAAGTTTGGATTTCAGAGTTTGCTTCACAACTGAGCCTTGTTCTGTAATCTTTGATGTAAATCCCTTTCAAAGATCAGGTGTGACGTTTGACAGGATCGTCCTGGTTCAGGAAAAGCAGCCGAACCCGGTGCTGCGCGCGCGGAGCGGCGCACTCCAGCTCGTTGGTAAATATCACGCATTAATGCGCCTTATTTGGATCCTAAAATAATCACGTGGACATTTAAAAGTAGAAGAAAACCACAATAAACAGCAATTTTCTTTTTCTTGTGAGAAATCCAAAACTGTGTTGCCAAATAATGACGTAACTAATGTTTAAAGAACGAAAAAGTGCTCCTTTGTAACAAAAAGATTTTATTGGCTGGAGAATTATAATCGGTTAAGGTGCAAAAATCTCCCCTGAAACGAAAAAAAAATAAAATAAAAAATAAACGCGCTAAGGCCCGATGTAGGCTCGAATTAATGAAATTATTATCAGTTTGTTTTAATTAATAATCGAACACAGGTAAAGGTAAACCTACTTGGTGTGAATGCCGGACGCTGAAATGTGATTTTTCCTTCAGGATGTTTGGTGAAAAAGTTCGTTTCCTTGTTTAAATCTTCCCCTCATCATGTTGAGTGTTTGAGGCTCATCTGAAGGTCTGGTGTCTGCTGTCGTCCTCAGCTCTGCTCCGAGTGTGTGTGAGTGTGTGTCCTCTCTGAGGAGTCTGCAGAGGGTGTGTGTGAGTATCAAAGGGGTGGAAACAGGATGGAGAGGCGGAATTTTAATATTAAGATGATCCGATCTGATTGAAAATCTCCTGCTGAGTGAAATCAGTGTCTCGTCACAATATTGGGAAATAGTTGCATTTAATTTCCAGATCATATTTTGCATTTTAAATAACTTATTTTACTATTTGGCAGCATTTTAAAATCCCAGTTACAGTTCTCTCCTTTCAGCTGCTTTGAATTATGACTCAAAGTATTCTTCCAGACCAAAGCAGGGTTGAGTAATGGAGAAAGAATTTAAAACACAGATTAAGTTCAGTTCTTACTTTATGGCTACATAACTTCATATTTGATCACAGTTTAATGTATTTAAGAGTCATGTTTATGACCCAAACACATGTAGAGCATCATAAATCTTAAAAATTACACAATACTCGATAACTTGACCATAAATGGAGTCACAGCTTCAAATTTAGGCAAATATTCATTTAATTCACTGGCGATCTCAGTATTGAATTCTGAACTTGGTGAGTTTTTGAAAGGAAACGTTGATGATTTAAAGTGAAGTAGAAGAAGCGGGCTGCACAGTGGCGCGGTGGTTAGTGCTGTAGCCTTGCAGCAAGAAGGTCCTGGGTTCAAATTCCAACCTGCATGGAGTTTACATGTTCTCCCTGTGCATGCGTGGGTTCTCTTCGGCTACTCCAGCTTCCTCCCACAGTCCAAAAGTCTCTAAAATTGTCCTTATAGGTGTGTGTGTGTGTGTGTGTGTGTGTGTGTGTGTGTGTGTGTGTGTGTGTGTGTGTGTGTGTGTGTGTGTGTGTGTGTGACTGGCAGCCTGTCCAAGGTGCACCCCTCCTGATTGCTGCTGATAGGCACAAACGCATTTTGTTTTTCTGCAAAGGTTGTATATAGCAGGGTATCTGCAGGTTTAAGGGAGCCAAATTTAAGACTTTTTAAGACATTTTTTAAGGCCACTTTGACCAAATTTAAGCTACTTTTAAAATTAAATTTAAGCTATAATTTCCAGCTATTGCCTGGAACCGGTGCTAACTTGCCCTTCCCCATGGCGCAAGCTCCCACTAGCTTAACCAGCTAATGTGCTCATCTAAAAATAGCCCCCTTTCACAACCAACTGAATGTGTATGGTTCCGCTTACGGCAACATTATACACAAAAAATGCTGAAGACTAACTAGAAATTCAGAAAAACAAAAGGATCTTGTTTATTGGGTCTTTGGTAATTTAAGACCTTTGGAAACTGTATTTAAGGATTATTTGTCATATTTAAAGATTTTTAAGGCCTTAAATTTGGAAAAGCTAATTTAAGACTTTTTAAGGACCCGCGGATACCCTGTAATAGAAATATTTAAAGCCAACAGCATGTTCATAAAATGAAAATATACAGTAAAATCAATAATATAACACAAAATAAAAGGAAAGCATTCACATCCCATTTATATATCAAAATATTTATTCATAAATTCTTCTTCAGTCTAATTTGAAAGCCTCAAACCCACTTTTAGTGTTTAGTAGACAAAGCCAGTTTTACAATCTTACAGCGGTGCTTTTATTTGAAAATCAAATGTAATTCTCCTGTTATTCAGTCGTTATTTTATCCTAATATCCTGTTTTGTTGCTCTTCTCTGCTGTAGCCACAACAATAAGTCACCCAAGTTTATCTTCTGTCATTTGCTTTTACTGAAGCGTTTCTACTGCTTATGGGCAGCAGTGGCTCAGGAGGTATAGCGGGTTGTAATCGGAAGGTCAGGGCAGCTGCGACCACATCAGAGCTCATCCCCAGCAGCGTGTGAATGGGTGGAGTGTGTTGTGAAGCACCTTGGGAGGCAGTAGAACCCCAAGAAGGCCTTTTACCAATAGTTTAAAAATCCAAAATGCAGATGTTTTTATTTTCTACATGATAAAAATGAACTGCCTTTGAGATTTAGCAAGCCAACATTAACTCAAAGTGCAGCATTATGATAAATACTCCTGAATTAATCCCTGAATAATCTAATCAGAGTGTCTAAGAGTGCAGGTCTGAAGGATCTGTCTGATAACCGATCGCCGCCTCATGCACCAGCTCTTCCACCAAGGCCGAGGCCTTAAAACGAGCTTTGTGCAGGAACAAGCGATGGAACCGATGGAACAGAGCATCTCTGGTATATGCTGTCATTTCACCACTCGCTGCGGTAACTAATGCACATCAGCTCCGACCCAATGTCAATACCCAAGCCATCCCGCCGTGATCTGGTGTTTTAACTGCAGAGGAAATTAATTATCCAGAATACTCGCCTGTGTCAACATTTTTCCACGTCACAGCAAAAGTTGAACTAGTAGACACTCTGACAGCATCCCTGAATAAACGGGCCTTTTCAGCGGTTATCAAACGCAGCTCACAGTTGCCCGTTACACCCTGAGTTGTTTTTGGCCCGGCAGTTGTCAAACCCACAGCTGCGGTTTGCCAGCTTCTGGAGGCTGAGCAGCTCGGCAGTGATTTAGCTGTGAAATGTGTAGGCTGTGGGCCTCCAGACCTCGTCGGCTGCCTCAAAACATGTGGTGGTGCGCACGAGACGGGCAGAGACAGGCCGTAAAGACTAAAGAGAGGTGGGGGGGGAAGAGGTGGACATACCTCTCCCTATGGGGAGTGAGGAATTTCAACAAATACCTGGCACAGGCATGCCAAAACTGGAGGGTTGAGGAGGCCAGTTTACCTCATACGAGATCAGAAAGCTTATTGGATGGAAACGTAGGAGTGTCAGGAGGGCAAGGTATCTGTGACCGGGACATCTCAGGTGTTTTTACATCATAACGGGCAAAAAAGGGACACGAGCTACTGCTGAAGTTTTGTTTAAATGTGAAAAATAAAGAAGTGAGGTGGAAAAGGAGGCTGGTAGAGCCTCTGAGCTCTGTTTATTTATAATTGTCAGAGCACATCAATCTCAGCCAGCGGAGACGATCCGAATATTTTCTAATTAAATTTCTCTGAGCTATGAGCTTCACTCTGGTGCTTTGACCTGGAGTACATGTGTTCTCCTCATTAATTCTCCTGCATCAATCTGGTATGCAAATGCAGAAGGAGATGAGGGAAAGAGGAAATTACTCTGGTGCCGGATTGCCTTTCTGGAAATTAGGCTTAAAAAACGATAACTAGAATAAATCCTGCAGCTGTGAAACAATACCTAATTCTCACACGTCGTATTCCAGATGTCAAATTAAATGATGAATCAAATTGTCCCTAAAAGAATCTCTTAATCTGAGATTAAACTCACAAATGCCTTTAACAATCTCCTTTCTGTTCTCTGCAGCTCGGAGGACGGGGCTGTAACAGAAGACGTCTCAATCTGACTAATCCTCCGTACGTGAACTCCGAACTGCTCCCTAACCTCTTCCTGGACGCCCTTCCTTCCCTCGTTCATTTCATTAATTAGCCTAACTGTTCCAGAACACGCTGACTGACAGATTGCCTGCGGGTAGACTGTCCTCAGTAAGGTAGACCTGATTAAATGGGCGGACATTTTTGCCTGTGACAAACGGTCGTTGGACCAGGATGATTCACAACTTGGGATGAGTTATTGATTCCCCCACTACCACCAACTCCGCCCACCTGCCTGAGTGCGTTTGCAACAGCAAATTTCTCCTGTTCCCTTTAAGCCAAGGGTTCGTCCTGTCTCTGTGCGTTCTCATAAGAACACTCATGTGGCTCAGCTTCCCCTGAAGACATTCCTCAGCCATTCTAAAATGGGCGTTTGTGTGAAAAATTGTAAATAATATCAGTTGTTTACAGAATCCTGAATGGCCTCAGTTAAGAGAAATCCTACAGGATCGATGTGCTAACAGCTAGTCCGGTCACTGCTGTAGGGTTAGCATACGTATTTATTTTGGATGCTTTTTAAGTTCAATATTCTACTTTACATTTGACCAAGAAGATGTGAATTTCTATATAAATATGGAAATCCAGTCTGACAGGTCTTTGAATTATTAACCGGAAGATTTAGAATTCTTGTACGTAGACGTAGATCGACCGGTAAATCGAGAGCCTGGCTTTCTGGCTCAGCTCCCTCTTCACCACGACAGATCGGCTCAGCGTCCGCATCACTGCAGACGCTGAACCAATCCGCCTGTCGATCTCCCGATCCCTCCTACCCTCACTCGTGAACAAGACCCCGAGATACTTAAACTCCTCCACTTGAGGTAGGCCCTCTCTCCCGACCCGGAGTTGGCAAGCCACCCTTTTCCGGTCGAGAACCATGGTTTCAGATTTGGAGGTGCTGATCCTCATCCCAGCCGCTTCACACTCGGCCGCGAACCTACCCAGCAAGAGTAATAATCTTTCAATGTAATAATAATATTAATTTCAACTCCAGTAATTTAAGCACAGATTAATCAAAACATTTCATTTAACCATAATGTCCATTTCATTATATGATTTAATTATGGAAGTTCATCCTCCTTGTTCTGTGAAGCAAAGCAGTCTTAGATAAGAGGAAGCTGGAGAGAGACCTTGGTCAAGCAACAGTATCTTTCTTGCAGATTAAAGGCACCAGTTAAGACTTATGTCTCCATATGGCCAGATACTGAAGAGGTCAAACTGTAGGTGGAAAACTGACCATTTCTGGAGGCTATACAGCAGACCGAAATGGGTTTCCTCTTTCACGTATCTCCCAAAACAACTTTATTTGAAGATCTTGAACACATTTGTCAGTTTGGATTATTTTTGGAGACTTTTGCTATCACTCACAAGCTTAATCCAGGCTTTCCACATGTGCAAGGCTGGAAATATATTTGTTTTTCAACCTTGCGTTGATGCCGGCAGCAGGCTGCGTCTTTGTTCACACACTTGATGCTGCAGTACTGGAGGATTCCGCTAGGGGGCACAGTAGAATATTCAGACCAGATAGACAACCAGGTTTGTGGGCACAATCAAAACAAACATGGAGATCAGTAACTGGTTACTTTTGGATGCGCACAAACAACACTTCAAATCAACACAAGTTACGAGAGACGGCCATTTTAAATACGCATTTGCATCGTTTAAAAAAAGTGTACTTCCAGCCAAAGTGGGGCAAAACGTAATAGATGTGTTTTCCCCCACAAGCTCAGCAGCATGTCCCTTCCCACCGGGAGCATTTCATATGCTAACTGGCAGGAAAAGCACCTTGTGGTCCTGCAAGATCACAAAATCACAGGAGAATTGCAAGATTATGTGTGATTTCAAAAGGTTACGCGATTAATAGCTTGGAGAAAGACAGCAGCA